AAGGGGAAACAGAAATCGGCAAACAGTTGTCAATGTCTGTACTTACAGACCTTGCAGGTCAGGCAGGAGTCCTAGCTTTTCCTAAGGCAAGAACCACCATGTTAATTGTCTCCAACTGCTCACCATTTGACCCTGAGCTATGGCGTGCAATCGGTGCGCCATAGATTGCTTTGAGTTGCGGAACAACCACAGAGGATCCAGGAAAGGTAACTAACCAACCCCAAGACTATCATCAGTAGGCTTGTGTTCATTATAGTCCATAAATGAAAACAGCCGGGGGACCGCTAGCCTAGGAAATTGGTACTGGGCCATGGAGCTTTCTGCTTCTGGTTTGTAGGGGGTGATTTCAGCCCAGGTGCAGACTTACTACACATGCTGTTTTCACAAAAGCTGCTTACTATTTGTAATACCAATTGGCAGCTTTCTTAGCCCATCTGATACTTCGCTTTCCGTGGAGGGAACCCAGTGTATTGCAGTGTAGCAACAGGTCCGGAGGAAGGTGGACTGTCGGAGAAGAGTACAGAAAACCAGAATTTCATTGTCTGTGTTATGCAGATCTAAAAAGCAGTGCTCCTGTACGTCTGAGGCTGTACTTACAGCACACTGTGATGGATTAAAGCTTTCCTTTCTATATCACTTTTAGAGCATTTTTATTTTAGACCATTTCCTACATTCATGTCAGCCTGTCTCACAAATGCTATTGATGGTGTTTTTAAAGAAATAATTACAATTTTTATTTTTTATGTGCCTTCCTTAAATGGTTTAAAATCTTTGTGACAACCCCTCTCGAGACACCTATTTAGTGTCAAAGAGCATAACGTTCCCAAGTTTTAAAAGGGCTCTCACATAATACTGATCGATCAATGTGCTCCTTGGGAAAATAGCTCTCCAGATGGTCTATCGGGACAGGAATTGCTGGTCATCACAATGCAGAGCCAAAAAGCGTCACTAATGTGGGCTGTTGTGAGGCACGCTTCCTTTGTGGTCCCTTTGAATGTCATAAATAGGGAAGAAAGTGTGGGAAACTCTGAGAAACTCAGGCCCACACTGAGGTTAATAAGGGCTTTGTCAGGAGAGTATTCCTGGGCTGTGGGATCAGCATAATAAACAACATCTTCCCTAAGGGTGGGAATGTGTTGGAGCAGGGGAGAGTCACCCCAGGGGACAGAGGAGCAATAAGAAGCTTTGCGTTCAATTATTATAAGTGATAATAATTAATAAATTGTAAACATAACCTTTGCTGCGCTAAGACTGGTGAAGCCGGAGGTCTGGCTTTTAACTCTCAAGTAATTGGTAAACTAACGCCCAGAGGGGCAAGTCTTTGGCTGGCAAAAAACAGAAGCGGTGCACTTGCACCAGCCATGGATCTGACGCCCTTGAGCAAATGGAGGCTCTCTGGTGGGGCTTGGTTTCTTCCCCCTGCCCAGAAAGGAGGCGCTTACTGTTTCTGTCCCTTACAGCACTCTGCAAACAGTAGGTCTGAATCTCGTGTGCACTAACAGCTAAGCATGATCAACTCCCCCGCTATAGCCAGAGTAATGTAATATGGCCTCAGTGTAAATGAGAATCAGTGGTTTGAATGACAGTAGCCGTGTCGCTCCAGATTTATGCCGATATGGGTGGCAGGAGTTCTGGGCTGAGAAGTCGGACTGTGATCTCGCATGAGTTTTGCGCAGTTGTCATTTCTATGGCCTGTTCCTGTGTTAGCCTAGAACTAGAGGGACTGGGTTCAAATCCAACAGTCTTCAGTTTGTGCAGGTCGTCTTTGGTTTCCTTTTCTCTTTTCCGTTTATGCTGTCAGTTCTAAGCAAACTGCAGTGATGCTGCCAACTGTGACAGTCACAACGTGCTTTACTTGGGTGGTAACACATTAGCTGCAGGAGATACCAGTCCATGTAACAGCAGCAGACTTCTCCGTGCCATCTCCAGTCCCTGTGGTGCACAGTCAGGTTGCAGCATGCTTTGGGGTACATTGCATTTTGATTGAGTCTGAACTCCCCCAAACTTCCTATCTGCAGACTGCCTTAATTACGCTTGATTTTAAAAATGCACAGGCATGGATGAACAGCTTGAATTTTGCTGGGATTCAGAAGCTTGTATTAATTGACAAAGACAAGTCGAGCGCAGCAAGGTGAAGTGACTTTTTCAAGATCACTAAGCAACCACAAAATCTAGAAATATCTCTTCTGAATTATTTAGTAGTTCATTAGGAAGAACAAATCTATCTGCAGCATTGGCATCAGCCCCTGATGAATTGCAGAACTGTACCAAAAACCCACCTTGTATTGCATTGGCAGACAGATGAAAAGCACTCAACCAGCTCGTGCATTCAGGGTAAAATAATAACCAAAATGATCCATGCAACCGTAATGAGGTAGAGCAATATGTTCTTGACCTGGCTAGCAGGCTTTTTGGGCCTTTTCATACGTGTAACGAAGGGTTTTATCACAAATGAAGTGAGGACTGGCCAGGTACAGCTAGCAATGTTTGAATGCAGTTTGATCTTGTCAGCTTAGCAGATCTGAGTTTGCTTCGTGCTTATCTAAGCAGCCATTTGACAAGATCAGATATTCTAGGTTTCCTTTTATTTAAGGAAAAAAGCATATGCTAGAAGCGAAGCTTTTCAAGAGCAGCTCTCCCAAGGAATCTGAGGAGAGCTGAAATTGTTGACCAATGGTGTTTCATGCTGTTACTCTATCTCTGGAAGAATGAGAGAGTTCCCTGTCATATATGCAAATCAATGTGTTACTGTGGTTAGATAATAGTTTTGTGAACTGATTATTTGTGCAGATTTATTTTGCTTTGAAGAGAAGGGCAAATAAAAGGTGAATAGTCCCCACTGAGCAATGAACGGGAACTCTTTTAAGGAAGAGCGAGTGAATGTTATTGGGGAAGTTGCTGTGTTTCAGAGAGATTGTTAGTATTTAAGGTGCTCAAGGGTGGCTTTAGGATCCCCTTCTCGTGCTTTTCTTCCTGCTTCCCCAAATACCTTCTGAATCCCTTTTTGCTTGTTCACCTCATCCATTCCCTCTTTGTGTAGCTGTGTGGGAGAAGGTCAAGCACATCCTTTACAACAGGTGCTAATCTTCCTCGCATCACCAGAGCGCAGCTGACTTCATCCTCAGGAGACGGGAGTCACGTGGCCTGTGCACGGAGAGTTGCAGAAGAGTCTGACAGGGCTCGAGCGGAGGCTGCGCATGGATGCTACAGTGCCTCTCCCTGCAACTCACGGGAAGCCCAGGCTGCTTACTTCGGGTCACCCAGCTGGTGCAAGCCAGGTAGGCAGGCTGTTGTACATCTCCGTGTAAGAGGATATGCTAGATTTGTTTTCTGAATTGAGGCGGGGTGAAAAAATCAAGGGAGGATCATCTAAAAGATACTTGGCAGAGAGACCATCTCTACAACAGGCTGGATAGAAAAAACCTCAAAAGCCTGGTGGAGCGTGGCGGTTTCTCAACTCTGAGGCACAGGCCCTATTCGTGGCACATTTTGGACCCTTAGGTGGATGTCAGAGAAAGAGAATAAAATGTTTGAAGAAAAGAAGAACATGGGGAAATAATTTGGAGAGGAAATGCTTTTTCAGTCTCTGTTTGCTATCAAATCAGGCATACTTTTAGCCATATACAGGCAGATTTCACTTCAGTAAAGAAAGCAATTCTGTTACTGCCTAACAGAATTCGTGTTTAGGTAACAGAAGGTGCTAAAATCAAAAACTAGTTCACGCCATTGCGGGTAGTTTCAAAGAGGAGGGCAAGATCCCCAGGCAGAGTCAGGAGCCAAACTCTTTGGGAGTTTTGCATGTTGCTACCTCCTAAATGGACAGAAAGTGTAAGACTGAACTCAGGTTGGTGGCTAATTAACGGGCAATGGGGGGGAAATCAACTGGCTGTGAAATTAGTGATTTGCTGAAGTCTGAGTAGGTTGCTGTTAGGTAACTGGGTCTACACCTCTCAGTATCTCCCTTCGATTTCACCTCCGTTTTAATTTTTGATAACTTTTCCAGAGGTTGCTTCTTTGCAGGATCTGAAATCCTGTTCTGCCAAATGAATTTCACAAATATAAGCTATGTACTGGAATGAAGGGCTCAGAAATATGACATCTCCTGATAGCTTCCCCACTGCAGGAGGAGTCTACATGCAACACTTAGTCCAGGAGTATTAGCCATTTTAATAATTTCAAACCAAAGGATTAATGACTAAAACCATTTTTATTGTATTGTACAGTGAAGACACCAAGGTTGAACATCACACAGGATGAATACATCACAACTTTATAAAAGCTTTTTAAGCTCTTTAGCATGTTCAGTGAATGATTATAAAGTACTTATTGCCTCCCTTCCTCTCCCTTTTCCTTAAGGTATATCACAGGCATTTCCTTTACAAAAGGCATCAATTATCCCTCAACTGAGAGCAGCACATACTGACATTAAGAGAATTTTCCCTAGAGCTATCTGTTATCATCATAACTTTCTGTAAGAAGGTATACTAAAAATAGCATAGAAGAATCAGCATTTCTTAATAACAACTTTCACTCAAAAGATAAAGGCTCAATACTCTCTTTATGATACAAAATACATTCTTCAAAGCGCTCCTTCTTTAGGAAGGCCAATACATTATCTAGAGACAATGGAGCACTTGAACCAGTGACCCAGGGAGTTAGTAGGAAGATTTCCACTGACAGCCACAGGCTCAGCAGCCTTGCCAAGCAAAAGTTGATGGAAACTGAACGGCATTTGGCTCTCTAAATCACCGCAGAACTTGGTCCTCTCTTTGGCTAGGAGCCACCAGTAAAAGCAGCAAATTTGCTGCAAGATACAAACACTTTCCTTCACTATGAAGGGAAACTACTCAGCAACCCTCATTTCTTGTGACAGAAAAACAACAACTGCCCCCCTCCCACCTTTGGAAAGCAATGTTTCCTACTTTAAAGAGGAACTATTAAATCACAGGTCCCTCTAGTTTTTGTAGCAAAACATAGGAATAAAGGAAACTTCAGCAGGTCTACCAGGGTCTCCAGATGGTAGGAGCAGCAGCCACAGTCTTCTGGGCAGGTTGCTTTCTGGCAAACAGACAGGGTGACAGAGGTGGACCACGCAGCGCAGGAGAGTACATGACATCTGCACCCATCTGAGCTTTGCAGAAATGCTTGATTAGCTGCACTTGAGTTTCCTTCTTGGGTTCATAGTAGGACAGAAAATGCATAGCTTCCTTGAGGCACCGCAGGTATCCGCTGTTAAAGTCCTGCTCTAGATTCTTGTGAATGAATGCTGGAAAAGAAAGAAAGAAGCAAATGCAGTGGGTTAAGATCATGACCAAAACACGGGACAGTGGTGATTGATGCATTAAGTTTCGTTCAAGGGCCTGAGTCCATGAGCCAGTGTGACTAGACCTGGTGCGTTATGGCCCCTGCATGCTTCAGGGGCCAGGGCTACACGGGAGGGCAAAGGCCTGTGGGAGTAGGCTTTGTGGTGTGCAATACATGCTCTGCACTCACTTTGGTCCTGCAGCTGGCTCTGCTGCTTCAGGTAGCTGACAGCCACTTCCAGGATGTCGGCTTTCTCCAGCTTGGAGTTGGGCTGGTGTCTCTGAAACTCCTTCTCCAGGAGCAGTTTCAGCTGCTCAATGCTGCTGTTAATCCGGTCGCGGCGCATTTTCTCCACCACCGGCTTCCTCAGCTGTAAGAGAGGTAGAGCAGATCCTTAAGGATTTTCTGAGACCTGACCTAATTTTCCCTTCTGATGCCCTGATACACATACGTTCAAAGATGCTTTCTTTTGGTAGGAGAGCTTTGTGGTGCCGCCTACCTGTTCCCCACTCCATTTTTAAAAATTTATATAGTCTCCTTTCTCTCTCTTTAACCTATTTGCCTTCCCCCAGACCACTTTCTCCCTCCTTATCTCATCTTTTCCCATGTAGTATTTGTTTGATAGAGGCAGCCCGTTGCATAGAGTGCAGACCAGCCTTTCCAACCCTGTCAAGGGCTCTACTTACTTTATTCTTTTCTTTTGGCAGCAGTTTCTCCTCCATGTGGATCATGAGAGTGTTACTGGGAGCCATTCTTAGTGCTCTCAGTCCTGGGCACAGACCCCCACGTCGGGCTGCTGTGCTGAGCATAAGACTATGCTTTGGCAGTTACCGACTGCCCCTATTTATACATCAGGGAGCTTCAGCAGATACGTGAGTCTGGGGATTGCTGGTGTTTCCCACAGCCATGCAGCCAATCCAGGCACACAGCTGAACAATGGAGGAAGCATCTATTAGTGCATGGTACATTGATTGCAAATGCCCTGGAGAGAATAACCTTCTGCCCACGCTGACTGGTGGAGTGTGCAGCGTGGCTCTTCAGGGCTGCCCAGGGATCTGGGAAAACACTGACCCTCCAGCTGGTCGTCTGGGATCAATTGCATTCCTGAGTCCCTGCATGTGCCAGTCACATTTGTGGCGTGGAGGAGGCACGCTTTTGGGGGAAGGCGGGAAAAGAAGAAGAAGGGGAGCACTGTTAGGGTCAAAATCCACAGCACCAAGGACATCTCTCTAGTCTTTCTAGAGAGGGCACTTTACAGCCAGCCTCCCAGGTGCTGTTTGCCAGAGTGTGGGTGCATTTGCGCTTGTCCATACAGTCATTACACTTCTAACGGGTGAGCCAAAGTGTTATCGGTGTGAAACGACAGGTTTGTTTGCATGACATTTCTAAATGCTGTGGAGAATCTACAGTCAGGATGGTGGGATGTTGGATGGGCAGGGTGAATAAATGGGGAATGGGAAGCAAATGGAAATGGTAAACTCCATTTTTCTCTTCACACACCGAGATCTGTGAGCCCGTTGCACCAGTGTTCCCATTGCCTTCATTAAGGACAGCCACACACCTCCTAGCAGAACTGGGCCTATGCCTAGTCACCCCGTAGCTCTTTCTTTTCCCGTATCTACTCTCATACAGACATTTACAAGAATGATGGTTAAGATGGGCTAAAGAATAGCATCAGATTCAACCCAGAAGCCCTAGGCCTTGGGAAGTCAGAGGCAGGTCGTGAATGGGATTTAGTAGCTGTGGCCCATCTTCGGACCGCAGCAAGGAGGTCGGTTCTGCTTCTTGCTGAGATTTCTGGTGCACTCTGTCTCATCTGACCAAGGAGCATCGTACTGCCCTACTGCAGGCTGGACCTGCCGCAGTTTGCAGAACATGAGATCTGAGAGACCACATAATTGCCTCCCTGTGTAACCTTCAGCCTGTCATCCCCACTCCATTTTCTTATCTGGAAAATGGGGATAGTGCTGCTTGCTTGTATTTGCATGAAAATGTCAATAAAAATTAAACAAACATTATTTCTTTTGTGGTAAAGGCATGAAGAAGAATGAAGTTCTGTGGACACTTTAGGTCAGTTCTGATTTTGTTTTATGAGAAAAATCTCTGCCTGGATACAGTTCTTGAGGCAGCACTGAAAATAACCCAGAACCTACCCAAGAAAAGCTGTGCTGCATCCTGCCATCTGAGGGTCTAGCCCGTAGTGCCCGAGGCAGAGGTGTGCTTGTCTTCTCCCAGTGCACCGCTTGTGCACAGGAGCGTGACTGAGAATCTGGAAATGGAAATGGTGGAGGGAAGTGTGCAGTGAGGTAAGAAAGCCAAAGACAATTTCTTACTTGGAAATCCTGAAGTGAAGCCTGAGTTTAATGGGCAGTCGACAGGAAGGAGGGAGGTGTCGCTGAAATAGCCAGCTTCGTGGTTTTCATTGTGTGGGCCTGAATGGGCTTAGCTCTTTGTGAAGGGCAGATGTTGTCCTTGGAGCCCTTTATTCCCTGTGTTGTGGGAAAGCCAGGAGACAAGACATCTCATGAACACTTTGAAGCAGTCAAAGGATTATGATACAAAATAAGATGCAGCTCAGAGACCATGCCCTAGCTTTTGCCAGCCATAATAAGGTGTTGCCCTTCTTCCTGTATTCTTTGGCTGGCCTTCCTCCGAAAGCTGGTGTCCTGTGTTATCCCTTTCCTAGCAAGGGAGCAATGGTGGCAGGCCTTGAAGCTAGGAGCTGACAGGTAGGCATGTACCAAGCTGGTTGAAGAGACTCTTCAGTGTCAAAAAACATCTTTTTCCCAACTCCTGAGAAGCAGCCCTGACCTTTATTGCTGTATTATAACTGATAGCCAGATGGTCTTTTGGGAGTTGGATTCTTTCCCTTTAAATCATTCAGGCTCAAGCACCGTCACTAATGTCGTGAGTAGTTGCAAGGCACACTTCTATTGTCCCAACAAGAAATGTTATCAATAGGGGAAAAGTATGGGAAACGCCGAGAAATTCAAACCCACACAGCCTGGTGCTAATAACTCCTTTGTGGAGCCTGCACTTCTGTCAAGGCACGATGAACTCACATGGCTTTTTCACCGAGTAAGGCTGAAAAGCACATGTTTCACCATGCAGGCAGGAGCTTCTCAGAGTTGTGTGTTTACCAGGAGAAAGGGGCAACCTGGGGCAAGGGGGCAGAGACACTGGTTCACACACAGTGCCACGAGGAAGAGACGCGCCCAGCCGCAGCACTGGCTGTCCCGAGGGCTGCTGGTTTGCTTCACCACGCCTCAGTTTGCTCTTCTGAGAAATGGGAGTGGTGCTGCTGAACTCTTTCACAGAGCCCTCTTGGAATCAGGAGCTGAGGCCGTGTCTGTGATGGGAGATAGGGACAGGGCTGAAGTGGCCCTCGTGCTTTTCTGGCACCACTTGGGGATACTGCTGAACACCTGCGAGAACAAAGTGGAGAAGGAGCATCTCTGGGGACAGTGCTCCTCTGCAGTGGAAGTGCTAAGGGTGGCCTCTTCTCGCTATCTTGCAAAGGAATTTCTTTTCTCCCCATCTGTTGGGAGCCTGGCAGAGATACTTCTTCCCTGGGATACCCCTTTGTCATCACGGCTGCCTGGAGAGCAGAGCCTTGCAGGATCTGTCCTCTGTGCAGTCTGATCTCAAGTGGGCTTTTGTCTCTTCCTCAGGCCAGCCCATGGTTAGCGTTGCTGGAAAGGCTTATTTACACAGGTGAAATGGAAGGCTTTTTAGGACAAAGCTAGCTCTGATCTCACTTTCACAGGTAATGTGCTAGTAGCAGTATCACCAAGGAAGACAGTAGCAATGAGAACGCCTACCAGGGTCCCAAGTAGACCTGTGCTGCCACATCTGCGTGGAAATTATTATCTGTGAATGCGTGATGAAACTATTGGGTCTGCATGTTGTGCCACACTCACACCTTACTATTTCTGGGTGGACGTGTCCTAATGTTTACGATTCCTGGATTTTAGCATCACAAATCCCTGCAATATTACCACATCCCTTCATCATCCTCATATTCTTATGACTCGCTGCGTAGAGGTTTCTTGGATAAGGTTTGAGAAGACAGGGTACTGCCTATTTGAGGTGAGCCCTAACGATCCTTTGACAGTTTTTAACTTATGAGCCACTGCTTACTTTGGTGTCACGGATGAAGATCCTTTCTGCCAGCCCCCCAGGTGCACCTAAACCTGCCTACCGTGTTCTGCTCAGGGTGTTTCAGTGATACTACCTTCTACACAGTAAACAGTTTAAAAAATGGTTTGGCATGGGAGGCAATATATAAAGAAATTATCCTGCCAAACTTGCTATTCGGGATTGGCTGCTTCTGCTCTCACAAGCCAAGCATAATTCTGCTGTCTGAACCAACGGAGTGGAAGTGTAGTGAAATCTGCCTCTTTCAGGGGAAAAGGTTATGTTGTATGTCTAATAAGATCTATTGTATAAAATATTCCATTAAATGTCATTAAAATGGCGTTATCTTGCCTCCTTTAGACATTAGAACCCTGGCAAAAAGGGATCTTTTATTACCGTAAGGTACGTTCTTCACAGGTTTAACCTTTTTTAATTAGTTTTTCTTTAGATCCAGAATGCTTAATATACTGCCATTCCCAGGTGCATAAGTGAAGGAAGGTGGACTTTGATCATTAAGAAACATATGAGACAATTTGATATGCATTTTCAGGGTTGTTAGAGGCAAAAGCAATTTCTATAGCTGCTTGTGTCGGTGACCCTGAAATAGTCATGCACCAATGACATAGTCTTTCTACAGTGAGTATTCCAAATAATTAAAAATTAAGGAGAATTTATTATTTTTCTGCCCAGCTGAAATTCCCACAAGTCACCTTTCAGCATATTCAAGAGTGCACAAGAGGGATTTATTATTTCCTGGTATATTGACTCTGAAAGGTCTGGGGATTACAGCTGCTTTGCACATGAATAGCTGGAGTGTGTTGTACAAAAGGCATGGTCTGTGGGATAATGGGGTTGGATGTGGGAAAGCGCTGACCCTGGGGGAGAGCAGGCTGGTGCCTGATGGCAGGAATCAATTATGTCTCAAAGGAACACATTGCCCTGGGAGCAGGCTTTGCGGGAGCCACCATGTTATGTGTTTACCACCCTCCTCCTTCAGAAACCCACATAAAACAACCACAGAATACGTCCTATCCTTCTGCTTTTACCAGGGGACTCAGCTACACCTTGCTTTATAGTTTCACCGGTCGGTGCTAAGTTAGTTGTGATCTCAGTAACGTAACTGTTCCCCACCTCAGCAACAGGGCTGAGACCCAGCAGTTATCTCACACCTGCTACCAGGTGGTTTTGAGTTTTGCTCTAAAGCACCCCAGATACTGCTGACTTCAGTGGGAGCACACGCTCCCCAAGAGTCCTCTGAAATACGCAGACTCCATCAGTCAGTCACCTACTTGGCTCTGGCCAAGGGAGAACAGCCTGTCACTAACAATGGAGTGGAGGGAGCAAACACAGAAGCTGCTGAGTTCATGCACTTCCTTCATTGTTTTGGGTGGCTTTTTTTGGAAGACGGTGGTATTCAGTTCTTACAATGGGCTCAGCATCTCTGAGGATCTGGCATTACTGCCAGCCTTTCAAATATCAAAATTTGGGCTTCAAGAAACCAAGAAATGGACTGAAAGTCATAGAGATTTAACAAAAACATGTCAATGTTTCTAATAAAAATAAAAGTATTTTGATGGATTTTTTTTTTTTTACTGACCTTTTGATTATTGAGCAT